ATATATATATTTTTCTCCATGTGTTAACACTTAAATTTCTAGTTTCTTACTAGTCTCTATGTATTGGTATATAGCAGCAGTTTTCAAAATTTTTCATCTCACGGCACACATAATTTAATTACTAAAATTCTGCAGCACACCAAAAAATACTGTATTTTTTGCCAATCTGACAAAAAAAAAAGGAATAATTTTGATTCCTTCAAACTGAATGGCTAATGTTGTGTTGACTGCTATCATTTTTTTATTTCACAATCTGAGGGAAAAGAGGTCAGTGTCCCTGAGTAAATAGTCAGGTATTCCATGTTTTAAAAATTCTTGCGGCATACTGATTGAAAATCGCTGGTATATAGACATCTGACACCTTTAAGTATTATTTCTGATTCTATAACAATAATTTTAATTCTAACCTAAAGTCCCTATATACTATAAAACAAGTTTTTCTTTTTTGCCTTAGTTTTATATTTAAACACTGAAAATATTTTGTATTTATTATATCACCTACAAGTTGATAGATTCAATTACGAAAATTACATTTTCAAACAGTGATACTCCTATAGAAAATATTAATATTTTATTCAAAATATGATAATAAATGTAGATTTATCTGATAAGACAGCTAATATCAGGGAATGTATGGTAGCATTTAGGGCCTTGTAGAAAAAAAATACTTTAGTAAATATATACAATTGCTGAGATCTATTACTTGCTTTTCATATTAAGTATTAAGCATTACTAGAAGCAGTCAGAAAGTCAGTGGCCCTCGGAAATATATATTATTTCAATTCTTTTGTCCTTTAGTCTCACCTGAAAAGTGCATATACCAGGGTAGCAATCAAAGCGAAACTGACCACAACTGCCACAAGTACTTGGTCACTTACTCCTTCTATGACTGAGTCATCGTCCAGTTTCAAACTTTGAACTTCTCCCTGATATTTGGCCATTCCAGGACTAAAAGATAAAGAAACAAGATGAAAGTTACAACTGACACCGTGAAAAAAAAATACTAATAAAAATCCTATATAATAAAGAGCTAATATGCTAATTAGACCAGACCGTGGAACGACCTTCCGGAACGACCTGTGGGCGGGGGGTCGGGGCTGCAGGGCCGCGAGGCAGCCGGGGCTGCGAAGGCCTACTCATGCACGAATTTCGTGCATCGGGCCTCTAGTATAAATATTATTGACTTCTAACATATTTAATTTTTTTTGTAGTACCCAGTTAAAGTAGGTTGCATTACGTACAACTCCAGTGTGGATTGCCCCATTAATGAGTTCTTTAAAATTTGCCAGACATTAGTTTGGAGAGTACACAATTCTATTTCCTTTAAGGAAAACAATTACTATAATGTATCATCCATGTACATTTTTTAAAACAAAATTTTTAAAAATACCATGTTCTCTTCAAGTGTAGCTTCTTTAAAAACAAAACACCAAAAAACACTCCTCCTGCCCAACTGCTCTTTTCTTATTCTTGAATACCACATAAGTTCTCCAAATAGATCAGATCCTCTTCTCCCTCATAGCACTAAATGTATATCACAGAATTTATCATGTAGGGATAGGGGAGAAAATATTGTCTTTTCTGTACATATTCCTATATTACTTAGCATAGTGCCCTATATCCAGTAGGACCTAATAGAATATGTTTAAATAAGAGTGACTTACCTTACTTATAGTATTAGTAATTTGAAAAATAAAAGACAATGAGGCTATAGGACATTTATATCTATGCTAAGACTACTTGAATTAATGAAAATTCTGGTGTTTGAAAAACTAGTAGCCTCACCTGGGACTAAGTTCAGCTTATGGCTCAGAATTCTTTGCCCTGCCTGGAATATGGAATCACTCTCAGGCTACATTTCCTTATGAAGAGAAAAGGGAGGATATGAAACTCTCCTTCCCATAGACCAGTGGTTCCAACCTGTGGGTCGTGACCCCTTTGGGGGTCGAACGACCCTTTCACAGGGGTCGCCTAAGACCATCGGAAAACACATATATAATTAATTTACATATTGTTTTTGTGATTAATCACTATGCTTTAATTATGTTCAATTTGTAACAATGAAAATACATCCTGCATATCAGATATTTACATTACGATTCATAACAGTAGCAAAATTACAGTTATGAAGTAGCAACGAAAATAACTTTATGGTTGGGGTCACCACAACATGAGGAACTGTATTAAAGGGTCGCGGCATTAGGAAGGTTGAGAACCACTGCCATAGACTAAACTAGAGAGAAATGATAATACCCAATTTCTATAGGTATAAGGAGAGAGAGCCCAACCACATTGAATCCAAATGTCACAGGTAATTCATGTTTTTCAGATGGCAAAACAAAAAAGTTCAAAGACTTATAAGACACCTAACTGGAAATAAAGGAAATAAAGATTCGATTAACTATATATAACTATTCAGAGCAGGCAGATAGCTCTAGTGGGGGTGGGTAGAGGGATTGAGCAAAAAAAAGAAAAAAAGAGAGAGAACTCAGACATTGACAATAGTGTGGTGTTTTGGGGAGGGGAAGGAGGAGATTGGGTGGAGGTGGAAGAAGGCATAGAGGGAATAAATGATGATGGAAAATTTAAAAAAATTCTGTATTTATGTAACTTAACTGCACTGAAAAGAGTTTTAGTCAATAGCATTAATCAGGAAACTCTGTTAAGAGGAATCTTTGAGTGTGAGAGTCCAAGACCTTTGAAAGAATCTGAACTCACTGCTTCTAAGAAAATTACCTCTCACTGAAGAAACTTGAGCAAACAAGCAGATCAAAGGCGGCTTCCATCAGCTTTACACATAATAATGGCCTGATATATGAGGAACTTTCTAATGACAGGTTTCAGATATCCATGATGAAGGCTCACACCAGGAAACTCAAAGAGCCTTAACTTCAGTATTTTTATCCAAAAGAACAGTCAAATGAACTGCCACCTGAAACTGAAGAAAGAGCCTCATATGAGCTAGGAGTGAGCCATGGATTGAGCCATGTAGTCAGTTTAGATTTTTATTTTATCAGTTTTCCTTTTTTTAAATTAGAGATGCTATGGCTCTGTCAAAAGGCCTAAGGGTAGTGGGGACTATTTGCATCTGCTCAAAGATAACCAAACTGTAATCCCATGTTGAGATTCCCAGCCTTTAATTATTGAATCAAATTATTTCACAGTTGGGAGGATCTTCTATGCTAAACACTTAGGGAGTTTACTATTTTGTACTTTTTTAAAAAAATGGAATGATTACATTTGTTTCTATGTCCTTCCAGGTGTAATCGGTGGGAATGTGACTAAATTCTACTATACTATTTCTTGTAGTTATTCCTCACCCAAGGATATTTTTTTCCATTGATTTTAGGAGGGGGGGGGAGGTTAGGAGGGAGGGGAAGAGAGAGAAACATTGATGTGAGAGGACACATCAGTTTGGTTGCCTCCTGCACACGCCCCAACTGGGGCAGGGATCGAACCTGCAACCCAGGTATGAGCCCTTGGCCAGGAATCGAATCTGTGACACTTTAGTGCATGGGCCAAACTTTACCCACTTAGCTACATCGGCTAGGGCCTACTGTACTAATTTTATTTTAAATAAAGTACAGTATAACACTTACACCACATCTTCATTCACACTAGCCACATTTTAAATTTTTTTATTGATTTCAGAGAGAAAGAGAGAGGGAAAGAGAAATAGAAACATCAATAATGAGAGAGAATCTCAATCCAGCCACCTCCTCATGCCCCCACTGGGGACTGAGGCCACAACCTGGCATATGCCAGACCAGGACTATGAATCAAACCATGACCTCCTGGTTCATAGGTTGACGCTCAATCACTGTCCCACACTGGCCCCACCTAATTTTTTCCCTCTATACATATATTTATTCTAAGATATATGTGTGTGTGTGTGTGTGTGTGTGTAGGATTTCCACATAATTACTCCCTTAAGATATTGCTTCATGAACACTTCCAAGAGCTCAGAGACCCAGGCAGGATATGTTAAGTACTGCACAGTGATATAATGTTACTTGTTATTTTTATAGAAGTTCCCAAAGTTGTTGAAATGAGTTACTTTTTATTTCCACAAATTCCAGTACTACCAAAGAAGGTGCTTGGGCTGAGAAAGGGTAGAATGGGAGACTGCTGATAAATTTCTGAGAGGAACAGAGAAGTCAGTTGCATTTTCTTGTCATGTGGAAACCCTAGCTAAACCTAGGGGCTCTCATAGGGAGAACTACTAATGATGACTGAGACCTACTTGCTGGGGGCTTCAAAAGTAGTTTCACTTATAATCCTATATAATAAAAGGCCAGCGACCATAACGGCGTAACGACCAGAACGACTGATTGACCAGTCGCTATGAGGTGCACTGCCCCCCTCTTGGTCCCTTCCCCCAG